CATCTTACTCATTCTTTATTACACCTGCAAAAGTACTCTATTGTAAAGTTAGACTGTAGTTTATTTAACATCTTTCCAATGTAAGACTTTTTTTAAAATATGTTGCAGTTACAAACAATACTACAGTGAAAACTTTGTGCGTATGTATTAATGTTAGAAGTATGTTTTCAGGCCGGGTGCGGTGGCTCAAGCCTGTAATCCCAGCACTTTGGGAGGCTGAGGCGGGTGGATCACGAGGTCAAGAGATCGAGACCATCCTGGTCAACATGGTGAAACCCCGTCTCTACTAAAAATACAAAACATTAGCTGGGTATGGTGGCGCGTGCCTGTAATCCCAGCTACTCAGGAGGTTGAGGCAGGAGAATTGCCTGAACCCAGGAGGCGGAGGTTGTGGTGAGCTAAGATCGCGCCATTGCACTCCAGCCTGGGCAACAAGAGCGAAACTCTGTCTCAAAAAAAAAAAAAAAAAAGAACTATGTTTTCAGGGCAAATAGCTAGAAATTGAAGGACTGGGTCAAGAGATGAACAAATATTTAGTTTTGTTAGATATTTTCAAATTCATCTCCAAAAGGGTTCTACCAATTTCCATTTTCACCCCCAAAGTATGACTGTACCTGTTTTCCAAAGCTTCAACATATTCAAGAGTATATTATCTAGCTTTAAAATTTTTTCTGTTGTGATAGGTTAGAAATATTATGTCAGTGTTGTTTTAATTTGCTGAATTTGTTCTTCTCTAAGTTTGAATCACTTTTCATATTTTCAGAGGTCATTTTCATATATATGTATTTTTTTGGTGAATTGTCTGTTCTTTTTCCACTTTTCTATTGAGTATTTGGCCCTTTGTCAACTTTTAAAAGTTTCCTATACATTAGTGGTATTACCTCTTTGTGGTGTATGCTTCCTGACATTTTTTCCCTTCTTTTTTGTCATTTTTCGGGTGAAAAGACCTTTGTGTGTATGTGTGTGTGTGTGTGTGTATGTTTGTGACATTTTTTCTCTTCTTTTTTGTCATTTTTCAGGTGGAAAGACCTTTGTATGTATGTTTGTGATGTATATGTTGTTAATGATTTTTAGTTTAATTGTATGTTAATCAGAGAATATAGTTTATTATTTCTTCTTTATGGAATATACTTACTTGTGTGTGACTTATCATGTGATCAATTTTTTTTAATGTTCTCTGGGTCCTTGAGAATAAAATGTATTTTTTATTATAAAGGGAGTAAGTTTAATGTATGTGTGTATGTGTGTGTAAAATATGTGTATACATATGTATGTATATATACACGATTTCCTCTCGTAATTGTGTTTTTAGGTCTTTTATCTTGTTAATTTTGCACATTTGATCAAGCATTACTGATGTATAGATATTCATAAATATTATACCTTCGTTGTGAATATATGTTTATCATGCTTTTGAATGAAAATTTTTGTTGCTATTTAAAAAGGTTGTATTTTTGTTTTAATGGTTGCTTTTATACTTAAAGCTTAAATTCCCTTATCCCTCATATTTAACTCTGTTCTGTTTCATTTGTCTTAAAGGTATTCTTTAACTATTGCCTATACAATAATCAGTATATTCTGCTTTCCTCTTTGCGTCTTTCTTCCATTGTTTAGTTATGTTATTTCTACTTTGTCAGAACATATAACGATTACATATTACTCTTTCAGTGTAATCCCCAGCTTTTAGTCTGAAATCTACATATTTTATGTATTGACGTGGCCTCCATTTGTTTTTTGCTGAAATTTTTCTAGTTATTCATTACTTGAACAGGCTCATGCTTTGGTAAATTCTTCAGAAAGGGCTCATTAATGTGACATTCCCTGTGCTCTTGTGTGTTTGAAGGTTTTTCTGCAGAATTGGTGCTTAAATGACAGCGTTGATGGATATAAACTTCTTGGTCCACACTTTTAAAAATTGAGTTGTTTGAAAATGTGATTTCATCGTTGTCTTGTTTTCTGTGTTGCTTTTGAAGAATCTGATGCCAGTCTGATTCTTTACTTCTCTGTGTTATTTGATCTTCTTGCCTAGAGAGCTTGACAATTTTCCCCATTATTTTTGAAGTCCGTTTTACAAGAATCTGTCCTATATTTGATCCTTTCAGGTTTTTTATTCACAGGTACCCATTTTATCTGGTATTAATTAGTTCTGTTCCATTGGGGTTTTTCTCCTACTTAAGGACTCCAATTATAACTGTAGTTCCTTCTTTGCCTGTGTTCCATTTCTACCTCTTTCTTTCTGATTCTTTTTTCTTTATTTTATTATCCTTCTTTGAGTTTTTTTTTTCCTCCATTTTTTTTCACTGCCTCCTTATTAAATCTTAAGTCCATTGTCCCTTGCATGCTTTGGAATTTAGACTTTGTTTCTGAGATGATTTTATTTTTTTCTATTTTTTTCCTGAGTTAAATCAGTCCTCTTTTCATTTTTTCTTTATTGCTGTTCTTAATTTTTGAGTTTCTGACTAAAGCAATTTATATCCTTAAATGCGTGATTGAATATATGTAGTTTAGTTTTCAAGTATTAGTTTCTTTGTTTTTTTTTTTTTAAGTGCTTCTTTGTTTTTTTCTGGTAGGGGAGAAGAGTTGGATTTTCATTAGTTTAGCTCTTTTGAATTGACTTTCTGATTTTTGAGTAACAATTTTCTACATTTTTATTAAATATTTTTGTTCTTTATTTGGGTGTGTAAAAGACTTTCTAGTTCTGTGGTGCCCTCTTCTGTTAGTGTAGCAATGCACACGATAGTGGTTATTTATTTATTTATTTTTGGTGTCGGTTAGAGAATGGTTTTGTAAATCCTCTGATTTTTTAGTTGTGTTTTATCTTTGACAACTGTGAATTTTCTTGTTTGCATCTTTTTTCTCTTCCTACCTAATTAAAAAGGCTGTCTTTCACTTTTTATTAACTCTTTTCTTTTCCAGTGTAACTGTGCTTTTGCAAGCCTGTCACTTCAAATTGAGCATGCTTTTACATCACTTTTCTGTAGTCCCTGCTCAGGCCTACTAGGACACTTTTTAAAGGATTTTCACACTTAGTGTAACTTACACTTTCTGGGTTTTTAACGTCCACCTTAGCATCTAACTCATTCTCTTTTCTTTCTCCCATTTTTTTTCCAGCTTGCTCTTGTTACTTCAAAGCCTTATCAGTGTGGTAGGAGTGTAAGAGCTCTGTCCCTGTGTTTTGGTTGGCCTGCCTGCCTGCCTGCGTGCCAAAGCCATTGTGTTCAATAGTTATTCTTGCTGCTCTAAATTATTTTTAGAGGAAGCCTTGACAGCTGTCATTATCTTTAGTCCTCATAAGAATAATTTGAGGCCTAGGATATTAGAATCTTTTTCTGAAAACGTTTTTGTCTTATATTGCTGGCCAGTTAAAGGAAGTATGTCTGGGATTGTCTTAGTTCACCTTAGTAGCCTGAGACTCTCTCTATTGTCCAGAAAATATGGCGCCTGGCTGTAAGTTTACACAAGGACTGGTTTACTTTTGTCCTCTTCCTCATCAGAGGGATGAGTCTTTTAGGGACTCAGACACCCAGATTGGTTCCATAGCAAAGCTTTCCCTTTTGTCTCACTTGCCATGGCAAGTTTTCACAACCCATGTTCAGGTTTCAGTTGATAGGTTATATAAGCATATATTCTCAATGCTTCTGTCTGGCTTTGTGCTTATTTTATTTTATTTATTTTTTACCCCTGGCTTCATGCTTCCTGTAGAGTTTAGTCATTCCTCTCCATTGTTTTGTATTTTTTTTTTTTTTTTTTTTTTTTTTTGAGACAGAGTTTCGCTCTTGTTACCCAGGCTGGAGAGCAATGGCGCGATCTCGGCTCACCGCAACCTCCGCCTCCTGGGTTCAGGCAATTCTCCTGCCCCAGCCTCCTGAGTTGCTGGGATTACAGGCACGCGCCACCATGCCCAGCTAATTTTTTGTATTTTTAGTAGAGACGGGGTTTCACCATGTTGACCAGGATGGTCTCGATCTCTTGACCTCGTGATCCACCCGCCTCGGCCTCCCACAGTGCTGGGATTACAGGCTTGAGCCACCGCGCCTGGCCCATTGTTTTGTATTTTTAAGAATTTCTGTATTTTTTTTCAGTAGCATGTATCAGGAAGTTTGGTTCTAATGACCCAAACCATTATTACTAGAAATGGCAGCTGATTCATTCTTTCATTATAACATTTTTTATGTTTGATTATGGGACTTGGGGTGGGAAGAATGATAGATTCATTTGCTCAGTTATCCATTTTGAGTCAATCTTGTACCAAGTAAAGACCTGCTATGTCACTGACCAGAAGGTAATTTTATTTCAGTGGTAAAGCAGCTTATGACTGGTGATAGCTGTGGTTAATAATCATAACAAAAATGAGGAAAACTTACTTAGCCATTGGAATGTGAATGTGCCAGATACTCTGTATTATTCATATATTATTTTGTTTTTAATAAAATCTACTAATTTGCTATTATTATTTCCACTTTACAGATGATGCCCTGAGGCTTAGCTACCATATCACCTGCCTAAGTTTACATGGATAGTAAGTGGCAGAAACATGTCTCAGGCTCAGCCTTGGGCTTTGCAGATACGGAGTTAACAAATTCCACCTTGTTTCCTACCTTCATGGAGCTTACAGGATTTAATTTCTCTACACTGTGGGATGGTCAGGGTTATAATTTTAGAGTCTGAAAGTGGTTCAGTAGTATTTCCACTAGAACTAAAGATAATGTCTCTTCTTAGGAAACGACTGTAAGTTCATGCAAATGAAAAACAGATTAGCAAAGATCAAAAGAGTGTCTTTTAATTCTCTAAAGACCCTCCATACCATGTAATGTAGCGCTTTCTTCAGAGTTAGTACTAAGTGAATGTTAATTTCATTAGGTTTATTGACAAGACGTAATGAGTCTTATTCCCATGTTATAACTTTTTAAAGTCAAAAGATTTTTAGCAGAATTTTAACGTTATTTGATATAGATGGGCCAGGATATTTTCTTTATTTATGTTTTCCTGTTGGTTTACAGTTATTTGCTGGTATAGAGGATGGAGAAAGCCTGCAGCTCTTTGAACAAAGTTCTCGCTCTACACATAAACAAGAGACTCACACCATGGAGGCCATGAAGCTTGTAGAGTTTGATCTTAAGCAAACGCTTACCAGGCTCATGACACATCTTTTTGGAGATGGTAAGTACTCAAACACAGGTTGAGTATCTCTTATCTGAAATATTTGTATCAGAAGTGTTTGGGATTTTGTTTTTTTTTTTTTTCAGATTTTGAATTTTTTTTTTTTTTTCTGAGGTGGAGTCTTGCTCTGTCACCCAGGCTGTAGTGCAGTGGCACTCACTGCAACCTCCACCTCTTGAGTTCAAGCAGTTCTCCTGCCTCAGCCTCCTGAGTAGCTGGGATTACAGGTGCCTGCCACCTTATATTTTAGTAGACACGGGTTTCACCATGTTGGCCAGGCTGGTCTCGAACTCCTGAACTCGTGATCCACACACCTTGGTCTTTCAAAGTGCTAGGATTGCAAGAGTGAGCTACCGTGCCCGGCCTGAAATTCTTATATGTACATAATGAGATATCTTGGGGATGGGAGCCAAGTCTAAACACGAAATTTATTTGTATTTCATATATACTTTATGCATGTAGCCTGAAGGCAATTTGATACAATATTTTAAATAATTTTGTGCATGAAACCAAGTTCTGACTGCAGTTTGACTGAAAAATGTAATGAGGTCATGTATGAAACTTTTCACCTGTGGCTTCAGATTGGCATTCAGAAACTTTTAGCTAGAGAAAGAAAAATGATTATAACCTTTGCTAAGAATGATAATGGATTAGGATCAATGGAGTGAAAATATAGAGACTGATAGGAGTGTATTATTATGTTATCATTAAATGAGGATGTGATCAGTGGCACAAGGTTCTTTACCATGTGAATGAACCAGTGGAAAACTTTACATATTGCCATACTGAGTACCACTATCAACAGCAAAAATATTAACATTAAATTTCCTGCAGGAGGAACAATATTGTTAAGATCCAGACCTCACTTAGTTACTTGCCTTTATTTTTCAAAAAATATTTGTTGTCAGTAATGCCACCTTTGCTCCCAACTATTTTTAACTTGAGATATATTTTGTTTTTTTAAATCACGATATAAAGAGAAGGTTAGTGGATTTTCCTAATTGTGACCTATCTTTAAGGAATACTGAGAAGACAGATACCTGCTGTGGTTGGGATTCTTCTTTATTCTCTTATTCTTGTGATTTTTTTTTTTAAATCAGTTTTGTTAAGGTGTAATTAACATAAAGTAAGCTATGCATATCTAAAGTATACATTTTGTTTGATTTGTTCCCATACAATGAACTGAACATACTTGCACAATCATACAAGTTTTGACATCTTTTTTTTGTTTGTTTGTTTTTGAGACGGAGTTTTGCTCTTGTTACCCAGACTGGAGTGCAATGGCGTGATCTCGGCTCACCGCAACCTCGGCCTCCCGGGTTCAGGCAATTCTCCTGCCTCAGCCTCCTAAGTAGCTGGGATTACAGGCACGCACCACCATGCCCAGCTAATTTTTTGTATTTTTAGTAGAGACGGGGTTTCACCATGTTGACCAGGATGGTCTCGATCTCTTGACCTCGTGATCCACCCGCCTCAGCCTCCCAAAGTGCTGGGATTACAGGCGTGAGCCACCGCGCCTGGCCCAAGTTTTGACATCTTAGAAGTTCATGCCATGAAGCTACCAGCAGAATCAATACATGACACCTTCATTGTCCCCAGGAGTTTCCTCCTGCTCTTTGGCGGTCCTTTCCTTCTGCCCTTACCACATATCACCCCAGGCAACATATGATCTACTTTCTGATTAGTTTGCATTTTTTTGTTTGTATAAATGGAATCTTATAATATGTGCTCTTCTTTATCTGGCTGGTTTACTTAAAATAATTATGTTGAAATTCATCTATGTCATAGTGTATATCAGTAGTTGATTATTTTTTATTGTTAATCAGTATTCCATTCCATGATTTGTTTATCCATATACTCATTGATAGATATCTGGGTGGTTTCTAGTTTTTTGCTATTACCAGTAAAGCATATATGAACATTCATGTATGAGTCTTTCTGGGTCCTAAGTTTTCGTTCCTCTTGAGTCAATACCTAAATGACTAGATCAAATAGTAGGGCTAAGTTTGACTTAAAAAACAAAACAAAGCAAAAAAACTGCTAAACTATTTTCTGATGTGGTTGCACCATCTAGATTCCCACCAGTAGTCTATGAAAATTTCAGTTGCTCTACATCTTCAGCAACACTTGATAGGGTTAGTTATTTTAATTGCAGCCATTCTAACAGGAGTCCAGTGGTATGTCAAATACACATTTGGCATTTATAAAGAACTCCTCCAAATAAACAAACAGAAATTGCAGCTTAAGAGAAAAATGGGTGAACATGAAGGTGGCAAATGATATATATAGAATGACCAATAAATACATGAACAGATGCTTATCTTTATTAGTAATCAGGGGGAAACAACAGAAAACCACCAGGAGCTTTTTCAAATGGGAAATAATTTTTAAAATCTAACATTTTAAATTGTCGACAAAGATACGTATAGAGAAATAGAGTATAGCACAAAGTTCTGGCCTTATGCAGGATTCATGATTACCATTCTTCCAGCTGGACTTTAGGACTCACTATCTTGATTCACCTCTATTTCTTCATACCTCCAGATTTCCCCTACTTATGCATGAACTCAAATATGTATTTAAAGGGACTCTTGTTATAATTTATTAAGCCTTTCCTGCTCTGTTGTAGCAAAGTTTGTTAGAATATCTTGACTGCCATATTGCCAAATGCATAGTTGATGTAATATGTAAGACACCAACTAACTAATCCTGTATATTTTTAATATAAATACATTTTCAAAAAGTATACATCAACTTCAGGATAATGTTTTTCTAGGAAGTGGGAAATGGTATTAGGGAGAGGTGTAAACCGTATTTCAAATGTATTTATAATGTTTTATTTTAAAAAAGTTAAATATGACAAAATGTTATGGTTTGATAAAACTGAATAATGGGTATATGGGTGGCTGCTATTTTCTATTCCTGTCTTTAGGTTTGATATATTTCATTAAAATGGCATAATGTAATAGTGAAATAGGTTTCAAGTAGAAATTGTTGATGTGAAAAACCTATGATAGCCAGCATCTCTTTGCCTTCATGGTAAAAGAAAGGAATTGTGATATTTAAACAGTTATATCATCTATTTAACACAAATGCAGGGAGATGGATTGTGCTGTTCAGGCCATTTTAGAGGCAGGGTAAAGTAGAAGGGATTCCAGTATTTTAAGGAAATAGCATTCTGTCTTTCCAGAAAGATTCAGGCTCATCTGAATTTTTCCATTGTCAAACTATAGAGAGAGATTTTTTTAGCACCCTCCTTATTTATGTTGTCCTACCCATTTCTATAATCAGATGATTTGCCGTTGGTGAGGTTTGGAAACTGGATTTGCATCTGTTGCAGGCATCACAGTATTGAATAAGCTAGCCATACTCCCTGTCTTCAAGGAGTCATGAAGTCTTGGACCTTGAGCCCTCTCCTTGTGAAAGATAGGATGTTCTGCGAGCACACAGGCAAGGTGCCTTCTCCTGAACCGAACCTGTGTTTCTGGAAGTCTGCTGGTGAGGCATATGCATGCTGATAGCTAAAGGATAAGTGGCAATTAGCCAAGAGAAGGGATAAGCAAGGGGAGGGGCTGAAGAATGGGGAGAAAAAGGACAAAGTAGGCGACACAAATACTCGTGGAGAGCATGCATGAGGCAGCACCACCTACGGAAAGAAGGAAAGAAGAGGTGAGAGGGAGAAAAATGACCGACAGCAAACTCTTATGAGCATGGAGAAACCATAGTGTAGAATAAAAAAATTTAGAGTGAAGCTCGTGTTCATCCCCTTACTCTGAAGTCCTGAACAGGTCACTTAGCATTTCAGGTCTGTTTTCTAACTTTTAAAAGCTGCGATGATGTTTGCTTCACTTGAGAACAAAACAAGATATAACTTGTGAAAGTTGCCTTGTGAGTGGAAAATATCAAATAAATGTGTAAATATGAACAACAAGAGGGAGGAAGGAAGGGAAGAAAAAGTTAAGGCAATAAAAGTAGGGAGCACATGAGGAAAGAGTAATACGATCAGAGAACAACAGTCATTGCTGATTTGCCTGTATCATGCCTAAGGGAGTGAGAAGGAACTGTGTACCAGACAGTGGCACCGCAGTCTCATTGGTGTTGATAGTGGCTTTCACATCTTCACTGAGCACCAGCAGATATTTTAAAAAGTAAGCAATGTACTAGCCTCTGTATAGATTATGTAAGCTTTCCAAGGTGTTTCAGGATATACATCTCTCTGAAAATATGGTCCTAGACTTTCCTTTGTGTTATTGTTTATATTTGTATTTGTGTAGCTTTTAAAACCAGATGGCAGGTTTCCTTATAATAAACCGTTTCTGCAATATATGACTTTTCTGACTGTGATGTCTGTTCTGACATGGTAGGCACAATCCTGGCCAAGAATTAATCTTAAATTTTAGAATAACAGTGAAGTTGTAGCTTCTTTCATTTAGGCATATGTTTGCTTTATTGTTTTAAAAATATTGTCCGCCTAGACTTTTGGTAGTCAGCTTTTATTACAGATTGATGTTGCTGTTTTATAAATTTTCAAATTCAGTTTTTATCTGTAAGACTGAGTTGGCAGAATCATGGAATGAATTAAAGTTAAAAAATCCACCTGCTTGGAAAATACATGTTGGTTCACATGCATTAGAAACTACCTGGGAATAAAGCCTTTTCTTCTTCTTCTTTCCTTGGAGCCATGGTCATTTTTAACTTCATGCACACAGTGATCAGGAATCTTGAAACTGCTGAAAGGCACCTCATTCGCACACTCTTGCCATGACCTGGTGTGTTTCTGCCAGGTGTGTTGTTGTGAGCTGTTGTTGAAGAGGTTTGCCAGCTTGTTCCTGGCTGTGTTTGCCGTGTTTGTGACGTCTGTTGTGTTGGCTCTCAGGGGAGATGTGAAGTGAAGCGGGAAGGTGACTGGAACCCAGGCCCATCTGATGAACTAGAAGGGCGAGTGGGCCTGTATCACAGAACACAGACCGTGCTGTGTGCTTCCTTCATGCTCACACTGA